ACATAAATTTGCTGCTCTGATTCAAACTTTTCTTTACATGACTACCTACGGCTACGGCGTAATCAAGGCTGCTCCTCCGTTTGGTGTAATCTTCATCATTTTTTCTGTTTTACAAAGATTTCTTTCACGTGTTTCTTTGTTCTCATGTTCTTAGCTTTGACAAACTATATTTTTAAACCTTTGGTAGCGATTCAGTAGAAGACACATTCGCTCACATTGTACTTTAGTATATTTTCTCACTGGTTGGTTCCTTCAAAAGCTTCAATTTCATTCAATTTGTCTTTAGTCCGGATCAGGCATGCAACCAAGCTAGGGCTCGCTGATCGGCAGCGAACATGTTCAGTAGCGAACCGTTCGATAACAAACCGTTTGGTGACCGAACATGTTCGGTAACAAACCGTTCGATTCTTGTGCAAAATGTGCTACCATTCTATTATTGAAATCAGCAGCACTCAAACATATGTAATCTAGGAAAATAAATAAATAAGCAGTTCTCATTGTACGTCGCTTATGCGAGGAAATTACATAGAGACTAACGCACTCGAAACGACTTTAGTGTACATTCCATTTGTCATAATGTAAACGATTACTATTGTAAAAAAGCAATCCATATCAATAATTATCATTTTTATTTTCACCTTATCGTTAATCGCGTCGCATTTGCCAATCAAATTTCATAAACTGCATGCGGTTCATTAATAATTTTTAATACTTTAAGACCAGCAATAACATATGCATTTTTTGTAGCTTCACGTTGTGAAGAAGTAAAATAAGCCGAAACGGTAATGACTGTATCACTAACTTTTTTGTGTATATACTCCGAATAGAAATGTGCTTAGCGCACTCTACCGTCTTGAATTGTAGAATGAATGAATGCTGAACATTTTAATACGTTACCCCACTCTTTACAATCTTCAGATTTATAGAACCATAAAGAATGTCGAAAGATACTATGGCAACTTTAAAAGAAAGTCAGCTTGGACAGGGTAAGGAGCGCCTTGAGTCTACTACTGGGGTGTAAAGTTGCAATAGTATCTTTCGACATTTTCGATCTCTGGAAAACCATCACAAAACCAGATTTTAGCTGGGATACGGATACCATAAGAAGAGCGCACACGAAAACCGATTAAAAACAAATTTTCCGGTTCAACGAATCGCTCTGAAACAAATTTCCACGTGCCTATTGAAAATTGCCCACTGTGCAAAATCGTAGCCATTGAAATTCTCTATTGATTGGTCGCAAATTTCTACTCTTTATTTTGCAAACTCTTTACTATACTTACCTACGTAAAAATAAGAGAAGTTTCGACACTCGAACTCAGACTTCTTTCGAAGGAACAAAAAGAGTCTAGATGAGGTAAAATGCAGCGTGCTTGACCGTCGGAGAAAAATACTACAGCCGTTTCCGTTTTTTGATCTTTAGGACCGTTAAGAAAAGTCATTTGTATATATGAGGCGAGGTGTACAAACAAATAAGGTGGTGTGTAACTCATAGAAAGTGTCACCCCTTGAACAAAACCGCGTAAAATCTCGCTCAACTTTCCAAAATAGAAGTTATAGTGCAATAACTTTTTCCATTTGGCATCCTTGATATCACAGTAGGAAACAGTTTTTCCACCTGAACAATTACCAGAATCGGTCTCACGAAACAGACAGAGGCAAGCGTCAGATCCAGATACTTGGCGATTATCTATGCATGTTCTTCTTGTTGAGATTTAGATTATCACGTTCTACTCACCATTAGAATTATTCACCATGTCCGGACTATTTCGTCTATATTTGAACAATGTTGCATAAAATACAATCTATCATCCAGTGTCGTTTTATCTGTTGTTATTTGAAGACGTTGCACAGCTTTATATGATACAGGTACTGCTGCGACGAAGACATTAATGTACTTCGTACAGATTAACAAGTGTGTAGACGATAGTAAAGTGTAGAGTATAAAATCATTATAGCACGTCTGAAAGCAATTGATTTCTTGTGAAACATTATGAAATGATTCTAATACGCCACTCTGATTAATAATATTTTTCTGTAACGACTGAATAGTGTAACTGAATTGGTTTAATTTTGGTAAAGATTGTCTTTCAATTGAGTAGCCTACTTCATAACCATTAAGAAAGCGTTGATGATCATCCCTTGTAATTATCCATAATAACACATATCAAATAGAATGTCGACCTGGTATTTGTGATAGTAAATTTCGAATAATATCAAATTTTGCGTTTCGACAATCATTAAAATATAAACGTAAGTCGACTATTGACTTTAACTTCGAGGAGCAGCTTAGAGTAACAGGAGTGAAAGAAGAAATATTATGAATGATAATGTCCAAATATTCGATCTTAGGCAATAACTGAAATAACCGAAACAAAACCGGCTACAAATTCAAGCGAAATTGTTAAGTGTGTTAACTTCAAATTTGATGGCAGCTGTCATTGTAGATCTGTTAGATAGAAGTAGCCACGACCATTTAACCTAATTTCAGTATTAGTTAATGAATTCAGTTCAGCAGTAGAATATGTAGATTATGCAGATTTACACTGGACAATAAATTCTTCAAGAGTATTCTTCAAAAGTATTGCAGATATTTCAAATTGTTTGCATATAAAACTAATTCATCCCCACTTGGCTCTAATAGTGTTAGTTTCTTTAGATTGAATAATTTTTTCAGATACGGATGAAATAGTTCGATCTGCACGACAGTTCGTCTATTACTCAGTAATAATTTTTGAATATGAATAGCTAGTATTGGTGGTGGTGGACTTAGTAAAGAAGAAATTATCAAATTTATGGTTGATTTTTGTTTCATAAGAATTGACAAGAAGGACGAACATCAGTTATTATTAATAGAATTAAACAAAATTCCTAGTACATATCAATTGGAGGTCGTACAGGATGATGTGTTGTATAAGTTGGTCTCACAAAGTAGTTCAAAAAATGTAAAACTACCAAGGATCCCACCATCATTACATTATGTGCCTATTTCAGCGTGTATTGCAAAATGAAGGATTATATTTATTGGTGATGAAAATGAAATCCGACTTAACACGCTTGTTCTTTAAGGGCTCTCCCCTCAGAATATAACTTTTTTCTCTTACATTCGAATTTAATGAAATTTTTCAGAAATGCTTGTCAACACTAAACACCTGACGAGGGAACAAAGACATTTTTTTTAAAGAAAATTTTTGCGTATTGAAACGTTTTGGTAAACTTCGAATGACAAATCGCTATACGCCGTTTTTGACGCTGAGCATGAATATGACGTTAGTTTTTGATGGAAAATGTTTTTTATGAGTGCAAATTCGATTTTAATATTCACAGACCCGTTTTCCCCTCTGAACTTTTAAAAGTTCAAATTTCTCTTTTCATTTTTCTATACAATAACTATTGACTACACGATGACGCAAAGATATCCAAAAAACGTTCACCTTCCCATGTAGAAAAGATATCTCAAAAATAGCGCTAAGATACAAAACATTAAAAGCAGTGGCGGAGCGACCGAAGACGGGAGGGGTGGGTACACCCCCCTGCTTTCAGATATTTCCTTGAAAATTTGCTCCGATTTGAGCCAAAAGTACGGAAAACTTACTCCGATTTTATGAAAGAATGGACTGAGTTTACTCCGATTTTGCCAAACTTCTGTTTGCAATTTTTACGGTTTTTGCGCAGATATTGGCTGTTTTCTCCAATTTCCGGTCATCTTTGCTACAAAAATGTGACAAAATCGGGAAAAGCTAGAACAAGGTGGAACACTTCCTTCTCAAGATGGACGGGTCCAAGTCCCTACTGAAGCATTAGTTGACAGCCTTAGACTTGAGTATTTTTTATCGAGTCCAGTTGGAGTCCAGTTAGGATCTATCATAATCAAGAATGAAATTAGTGTAATCTTAAACGTAATTGAATCGCTTTATATATGAGTCGCGCAATGGGAACAGTATTTGTAGATGCTATGAATACTCAAGAATTAGTAGAACGATGGTCCAGAAATAAATCTGGTCGTAGGATGTAGTATGCTGTTTTGTGAAGGATATGAAGGAACAGTGAAAAAATGCTGTTTTCTTCCTGTGCCTGCAAAGTGTGGAGGTAACGGATTATACAACTGTAAATCCGAAATGAAAAAATGTCAAATTTTGTATTATTTCTTTTACTTTATCAAACTTGCCAGAACATCTTTTTGAACTTACTCCGGTTCTTGAGACTACCCCCCTCCCTGCTTTAACTTCTTCGCGCCGCCACTGATTAAAAGATGGGTAAAACTCTTTCACTTAACTTCCACAATATATTTATCTTACTCAATTTTGGACGCTCTTTTGAATGGCTTAAGCAGAATATTTTTTGCACACACTTATTTCGGAGATTCAGCAGTGACACTGAAGAGTAAATGATTTTTTTGTATAAATTTTTGTCTATATTTACTTCCACGCAGACCCTATGACAACTTCTCCTGCGAGCTACCGCTTTTTATCTTCATGATAAAATCCTACAGAGCTTGCAGGATTTGCAACGTGAGATATCTTGTGTATTACTAGTGACAAGAGGAAGGAAAAAATTGCGCAGGGTATGCAGAGTGGAAAATTTGCGACATATATCCAAGGAACGCATGCAAAGGCTCCTGCATGGTGTGCGTGAAAAAGAATCTTCCAGGATCGTGCAGGAAAGAAAAAAAGTAAGTATGTTAAAGAATCTGTAGAATTATACACGCCAACTTGTAGGAAAATTTTCGGCACGGTAACGTGATGTAAAAACCTGCAGTATATGTCCAACATTCACAGGATTTTTCAAGCAGGGAATTGAATTGTGTCTTTTTCAACTAACACGCGTTATCTGCATTATGTTAATAAAATACTGATAGTGTTATCATTCATATTTGGCACTGCCAAGTCAGGTCTCCCGTCACCATTGAAATCGCCAGCTATAATTGACTGTGGACTAGCACCAACGGGATGTAACTGATTCGCCCGAAACGTCCCATCACCATTACCATACAATATACTAATAGAGTTATTCAAGGAATTTTCAACAGCTAAATCAATTATATTATCTCCGTTCAAATCAGCTATGGCCACACCTGACGCACCATCTCCAGCGGAATATGTTTGTTGTGATTGAAATGTTCCATCACCGTTACCAATCAGCACGCTAACAGTAAAATCATTTCTGTTCGCAACAGCCAAATCAATTTTATTATCACCATTCAAATCACTTGCTATAACATGGTAGCACATGTGTCCAACTGCGTATGAAGCGGGACTGTGGAATGTTCCATTTCCATTACCAAGAAATATGTTTACGGCAGAAGAAAAACGACAAACGATCGCTAAATCTAATTTGTGATCACCATTGAAATCTGCTGTTGCAACCGAAGTTGGGTGGTCGTCCGTTAAATATATTATTGGAGGTCGAAATGTACCATTACCAATGCCAAGTAAAACACCCATGGTAGACGAACCAGGATTTGCAGTAGCCAAATCCGTTATACTATCATTATTAAAATCAGCTGCTGCAATCGAGCTCGGTAATAATCCGCCCGAACTATATGTCTGTTTAAGCCAAAACGTTCCATTGCCATTATTTATAAATATGTCAACAGTGTTATTGAATTCACTGGTAACAGCTAAATCGTTTTTATTATCGTTGTTAAAATCAGCTACTGTAATCCAATATGGATTAATACCATTAATTGAATATAACTTTGGACTTCGAAATGTTCCATTGCCAATACCGAGAAATATGCCAATATTATTAGTATAATAATTTGTGACAGCCATATCAAGTATATTATCCGCATTAAAATCAGCTGTAATGACCGATAGAGGACCTAAACCACTTCCAGTGAAACACGTTTGTTGATTTTGTAATGGTGTATGAGAAACTGCAATGGAAATACACGAAGGAATGAACAATAAAAAGTTTGAAGATTTTTCATCGACGTTGTCAAGAATACTATGTAAAAGTACGTCCTATAACTGAAGACTCATAAGAACTGATGACTCGAGTATTTTTGTAGTTATAACTCTCAGTGAACGCTGATAATCCGATCAGTTTGAGCCTCTCTGACTGATGTCGAGTGCGGCAGACAAAATGAGCTTCTCAGTATTTTCCAATTTTCTTGTATTCCTTTAGGACCCCAAGGTTAATATTTTTTTTAAATGCTGCGCCTCGAAATACTCTGCAAAATCATACATAAACTTTAATTTCAGAACTTCAATCAAGAAAACTACGCAAATTAGACGAAAGACGAAAAAACATTCTCTTAGAGAATACACCTATGAAGTTCCAGAATCAAAAGGTTTCTCTCTCAAAATTCATTTTTCATCTGCTCAAGCAGTCCGGTCTCACGAGCGATATCCTGATCGGAATAGATATCCGTCTGAAATATACCTTATATCCCGCACGGGATATAGGAAAAAATTTATATCTGATCGGGATATTTTTGCAAAACATTTTGGAAAAAATCGTTACCGCAAAAATCGTGACGTTACTGCAGAAAAGTGACTCTGACATAAGAAAGCGGATAAAAAACTGAGTCGGAATCCATGTTGCTCTGATCCTGATTCAAAAGTCTACCGTTCATGATTTTTTAAAATACAAGTGTGTATTCCTGTGTGGATATACAAAATAACCTGATCGAGATATTATCCCGTACGGGATATATACAGAAATAATTCAATGCTCTTTTGAGTAACTTATAAAGGAGTTCAGTTCCTAGTAATCTACTCGCACCGCCTGCTCCATTCCTATTCAATGTTATGGATAATAATTAAGCAAAAATACAACCAAAAAAGTTGGCATATTTTTAGGTGTATTTTGAACTACATAAACTAAGAGGCCTATATTTTTTCTGCGCTAAAATGCCAAAACGGCGCCATAATCGCAGCAAATTTAGTATACACAATAACAGTATACACTCAAAGTGGCATGGTGATTTAGAATATTCTATTTTGCAGATAGATAACTGTTGATCAATTGCGAGATGTTGAACATTTTGAGTGAAAAGGATTATTTTATAAGCAAAAGCTGTAGGTTTTTTGTAATTTATGTGTAAAAAAAAATAGAAGATAATGTTTTGGACCAAGAGCCATAAAATTCTAAGCATCAGAAAATCAGTTTAGACACATTATCTAATGATCTGAATATAACCTATGAATGTCAGAATTTATATTCAGTAGACACTTTATCGACCGTATAATGTTGACGATTCGACGCCATTTTCTTTTTAAATAAACCGTGTATAAACTATGAAAGTTTAAAGTATTGAATATCTGTGTATAAAACGTATAAGTTTCACGCTTTAATGTCTCTTTTTCTATACTTAAACGAGGCTCGACAGTCAACGTCTCCTTTTCATTTTTTAAAAGCAGAATCAGGCGTCAATGTGTATCACTCTATCGCTTTTAGTTCATACGACACAAGGAAAGATAATAACAGAGAATCACATACAGAAAAAATATTAGAAATAAAGAATGTACTTCGCACTATGTATAGTCAATATCGTTGCTTAACTTCTTAGCTATGATTTTTTCTGAAAGTAGGATTTTTACTACTGCCTGTTTCAAAATCCGATGTCGGTCTTACTTTTTTGAATAACTTTTGATAGAAATGAGATAGAGACCTGCGGTTTTCGCTGTTCGATAGCTAAAACTTGAGCAGAACTTTTCACAAGCAAAAACAACTTT